CCTCCCCCGCCTCGAGCGGGCGGCACCCCGTTCCGGGCCTGCCCCCCCCCGGGGCCGGTGCCCAGAGCGGAGTGCCGCCAGCTCCAGGGGGGTGGCTCGTGGTCGGGGGCGGCAGGGGAGGGCCGTTGGGGCTTCGGGATCCCAAGGCTTATCCCTATGTATATTTTCTTGGCCTATATAGTCATATGTATATTTATACACATGTAAACACATGTATATATGCATATATAAGTATATATATGTGTGTATGTATGTACGTATGTATGTCTGTCTGTCTGTCTGTCTGTCTGTCTGTCTGTCTGTCTGTCTGTCTGTCTGTCTGTCTGTCTGTCTGTATGTATGTATGTATGTATGTATGTATGTATGTATGTATGTATATATGTGTGTATATGTACACATATGTAGAAACATGCATACATATATACATACGCATCGATACATCTCCCCGTTCTCCACCGCAGCCAGCCGACAGGCCCCGGGTCCGGGTCCTACCATCCTGAATTGTGAAATAAAAACGCCGCGAAGTTCACGCTCTCCGCCTCAGCGTTTCGCTTCGGACCAAGCCACCCCAACCCGACCCGAAGGTCCTGGACCTCCTCAAATTTCGGGGGCTGTGGGGGGGCGCATTGGCTCCAGCGTGTTTCCTCAATGTTCTTTGCATAACCCTCGGCATCGCCTGTCACTGGGGCTTTGCCTCCCCTCGGCCTCGCCCTGAGGCCCCGCCGCTTTCTCCTCCCCTCCCTCCGCCTAATTCAAGCTTCGCGCGGCCCGCTTAGCTTCGACCGGAAGAGGTGCGCTCTCGACCCGTGGATCAAAACAGTGTTTCCTCAATGTTCTGGAGTGCCCCCCCCTCCACCGGAAATGGACGATCCCCACGGTAGCTGCGGGTGGGGTGTGGGTGCTCTATAGCAGGTATAGTCCACGCCGACATTCTGCCGCCCGTGCTGGAAGAAGGCGTGGCAGGTACGGGGCGGGGCTCGCCCCTCCCGCGCAGAAGGGCGGCCGGGGTGTCGCCCCTGCCTCGGCGCCGCGCCCCCTCCTCTGCAAGATAAGTTGAGCTCCCGCTCCGGGGGCGCGGCGCGCCCTCGCCGCGCACGCGCGCTTGTCGACGCGCGGGCGGGCGGAGCCGTCGCAGGCGCCCTGGCCCCGCGCAGCTGTCGCCTGGGACTGGCGCTCCCGTGCCGGCGCGGCGCAGCTTCGAGCCTGGCCGATGTGTGTGTTCGAGCAGTGGCGGAGCGTCCTGGCTCGCCTAGAGCCCTACCAAACAACGTTCTGAGAACCTCTTGGTGTGTCCACGACATGGTCGTAGAACATTTCTGGCGGAGCCTGTCTTGTTGTATCACATCGGGTCTATGTTCTGAGAACATTGCCTTCGTTCTTGGAACACTTTGGGGTTCTAGGAACATGTCGTGGTAGGACTCTAGGAATGCCCGGACGGTCGGTCCCTGCTCAAGTGCTGGGGGCCCGCGCGAGCGGGCGACATGCTGCCCGCTCGCCCAGGTTCGGGGCGTCATCGGGTCCGAAGGCCGCTCCGGCGCGGGCGCTGCGCACGGGCGCGCGGCTTGGCCGCCGGAGCGCGTGGAAGCGACAGCGGCCAACTCCGCGCAGCCGGAGCGCAGGGAAGCGGCAGCGACGGAGAGCGGGCGAGCGGCCGACCTCGCCCAAGCGCCGCGCAGCTCGCGAGGTGGAAGTTGCAGAGCCGTGCCGGCGCGGCGCGTGATTCGACTTGGCCGCGCTTGTCGGAAGGTTTGCCGTTCCATGCCCGTGCGCGGCCCGCGCAGTCTTGTCCTCGCCAAGTCGGGAGCGGGACCGCGCGCGAGCGCCTTCGGTTTGCGAGGTGGGAGCGCGATCCAATCCCAGCATCAAGCTGTACCACAAGCGATTCCTCTGTGGGAGTGAGTGTGGAGCAGACGGTGCCAGCAGATTCGCTCAACCTGGCCAGCTTGACTCTGGGCCTACCCATAGGTCCCATACCACACCTGCCTCAGGACCTACCTTAGCCATGCCCCAGGGCCCAGAGTATAGGGCCTGCCCTGGGCTACCTTTGGGCCTACCTAGGATAGGGCCTACCCTAGGCTACCCTAGGGCCTAGGGTAGGCCCCAGGGTATACAGTCGACCCGCATGTCAAGGATGGGCAACCTTCCCAAGGGTACCCTTGCATCCTGCCTCCTCGGTCCATATTGGCCACTCTCGTTGGCCGCCCCCCCCCGCTCGAAAAGCTTCGAGATACCCTTCTGAGGCCCCTGCATCTTCATCGTGCGTCCTTATGATACGGGTTGACTGTATACCCAGAACTGCGACGTCCTGATGGTCCTGGAGGTCCCAACCCTGGAGGTCCCAACCCTTTCCCCAGGACCTGTTGTTCGTCCTAAGTCGTTGTTCGACGGTCCCGAGGCCTGGCGACGGGCCCCCCAAGGCCGAAAATTTGCAAAAACCTCCCGTCCTGATTTTTACGACGCGATCATGCCTGGGTGTATGCCCGCCGGGGCTGTGCGCCGCCCGCCCTCGTAGAATGGCCGCGAATTTGCAGCCTGCCGCGCAGCCAGGCGTGCTGCAGCTGCACGCGCGCGCGCGCGCGCCGTCGCGCGACATAGCGCCTGGCCAGCCTCCGCCGCGCGGCCTCCTCCTC